TGCAAACTCATTACTCGTTAAGATTAGTCTATTTTTTTAATATATAACTTAATAAAAACTTAACATTAAGAACTTTAGATAGTACAAACTTAAACGATACGATTTGTAACATTGGGAAAAACACCCATATTGGCTACTACAGTACATTAAAAAAATATATATGCCTCCAGCAATGTGATTATCAAGATTCACAATATCGATACGTATATGCTATGCAAACAAGCATACATGCAAGTACTTTATTACAAAATTACAATATAAACAAGAGACATCTCGACATACAGTATAAAAAGATCTTATACACGTGTATCTTAATAGACAAAATAGTACGTATTCACAAAAAGATGCAAGAAACTTAAGTGAGAATTTGAAACTTCTGCAGTGGAAGTAAATATGCAATATAAGTTACTAAGCAATCCCAATTCTCCTTAAAAATAGTAAAAAAGAAATTATTATCTTAGATTGTCTAAGAGAGAGCTCAAAAAAATGAATCTTGATAAGATTTTAAGTTTTGTAATATCATGAATAAAATCTCCAATTTATTTGAATTCTCGCCGACATAAACTCGAATATCTGCTTTAGTTATATTTTGATCAATTTGTTATTTCTATCAATTATACGATGGACTTTATTCTTAAAAAAGATTATTCAATGTTCTTAAATGAAATTTGTTTTTTTTTTCTATAACTGATACAGAGAATAAAACACTCCCCTTCGATTCAAAATTAGTAAATAAATTATTGATTATTGCTTTAAAAGTATGTATTGGCGTTTTTTAAGTATGGACACGATCCTCATACGTATATTATATCAATTTTAAGTCATTGAATTATCGTTACACGATTTAGACGCAGTTTTTTTTTTAAATATTATATCATATCAGATATGTATGAAAAAAAAAAAAAACCGATCATTTCTTCATAACTTTAAATCATTCGATTAATAGTTTCTCTTTTTTGGTGGGCTCCGATTTTTAGGGAGAAAGGGTTAGAATGAACTTTATTTAGGTTATCGAAAATTTTAAAATTCTTTTTATAAAAAAAGTTTGATTATTTTTTTTTTTTTTAGGCTATAGAAGTTTTTAATAGATAATAATAAAAATGAGTCAAGCGGCAGCGACAGCGGCAGACGCAACTGATAGGAATGTGGAAATCTGGAAGGTAAAAAAGTTAATAAAAAGTTTGGAAGCTGCTAGAGGGTTAGTAAAATGAAAAGGCCATTTAGTTTATTTTTATAAAAATTGAGTATAAACTAGAGATTCTGACATCATAATTTTTCTTATGATAGGAACGGAACTTCTATGATTTCTCTTATCATTCGTAAGTTATATTCTAATATTCTGATATCAATGTTAATAAGACACGATTTTTAACTTGTAAATACATATCATTTTTATTAGCACCAAAGGATCAAATTTCTCGTGTGGCAAAAATGTTGGCAGATGAATATGGAACTGCTTCTAACATTAAATCTCGAGTAAATCGTTTGTCTGTATTGGCCGCTATCACTTCAACACAACAAAGGCTGAAACTGTATACCAAAGGTATGTGAACACATGATACGATCTAGATTCCGCATATTAATTATTAATCATGAAATATTAATTATGTAGTTCCAACTAATGGACTTGTCGTTTACTGCGGTACCATTGTTACTGATGAAGGGAAAGAAAAGAAAGTTAACATTGATTTTGAACCTTTTAAAGCAATTAACACTTCATTATACTTGTGTGATAACAAGTTTCATACGGAAGCTTTATCTGAATTGCTGGAATCGGATAACAAATTTGGTTTCATTGTAATGGATGGTAACGGCGCTTTATTTGGTACATTGAGTGGTAATACCAGGGAAGTCATCCATAAATTTCAAGTTGAATTACCTAAAAAGCATGGTATGATCTGTTTCATTTTCACTGTTATACAAATTGTGATTATATATAATGAATTCATTTCCTTTTTTTTTTTTTTTTTAAAAAAAAAAAAAACAGGCAGAGGTGGTCAATCAGCTTTACGTTTTGCTCGTCTTCGTGAGGAAAAACGACACAACTATGTTCGTAAAGTCGCTGAACTGGCTGTTCAGTTCTTTATTACAAACGACAAAGTAAGTATGATTTTTCGTTAAAATATATATATATATATTTTTTTTTTTATCATTGATAAAAAAAGTTATTGACATGATATTTTGTCAGGTCAATGTTACTGGGCTTATTTTAGCTGGTTCCGCAGATTTTAAAACTGAATTATCCCAATCAGATATGTTTGATTCGCGTCTTCAAACCAAAGTTATCAAATTAGTAGACGTTTCCTATGGAGGAGAAAATGGTTTCAACCAAGTATATTATAACACATTATCCTGCTCAAATGTTTGTTTCATATTATTCAATGATTAACTATTGATATATAGGCGATAGAACTTGCTGCCGAGAGCTTGGCAAATGTCAAATTCATTCAAGAAAAGAAGCTTATTTCGAAATACTTTGATGAAATTTCTCAAGATACTGGCAAATTTTGTTTTGGTGTTGATGATACTCTAAAAGGTTTGGAATTGGGTGCTGTTGAAACCTTGATTGTTTGGGAAAACTTGGATGTGTCCCGTTACGTCTTGAAAAATTCTAGTGGTGGTATGTTCTGAATATTTATTCTCAAAATAATATGAAATACGAGTGATTAAACTAATTTTTTACTGTATATATATTATTTCATATAATGCAGCGGAAATGGTTGTTCATATGACTAAGGAACAGGAAAAAGATCGCTCCCTCTTTCTTGATAAGGAGACGGGTATTGAAATGGAAGTGTGTGATCGTATGCCACTTTTAGAATGGTTCGCCGATCATTATAAGGATTTTGGCGCCACCTTAGAATTTGTAACCAATCGCTCTCAGGAAGGCTCGCAATTCGTTAAAGGGTTTGGCGGTATTGGCGGCTTACTCCGTTACAAGGTCGATTTCGACTCTTTGAATTACGATAGTGAAGAAGATGGTTTCTTCTCTGGTATGCTATCTATTTATTCTAATTATTTTTATTCTAATTATTATTATTATTATTATTATTATTATTATTATTATATTTAATAAAAAAAATATATTTTTTTTTTAAATCAGATTGACAATATGCCATCGATCAACCAAAGAGAGGCGTCGAGGTGACAGGGCCGGCCGTGTTCCGACCATAGGAGGTGTATGTAAATGAGATGAACAAGGTAATTATTATCAATAGATTTGGTAAAATTTGTATAATAATTTACTGGTCAGTATGGTCTATTGGTCAAATTGATCTAGGTTGTTAAATAAAGCCAGTTTTTATTCATACACCCAATTTTTTCATGTACCCCTTATAATTTAAAATTTTTATAAATTTTAAATTATGAGAGAGTATGAGAATAACAAAATAAGGGTAATGAATAAGAGTCATCTTAATCATATAGCTATTATAAAATTTGACCAATTGACCAGTATATAGATTTGATTTGAATTATGAAATTTTAGATTTGATATTTAAATTCGAATGTTAAAATTTTCGAATTTTCAATATAAAAATTAAAGTTTTTTAATTCGAATCCTATTGATTATCGCGGTTTGTAAAACGATTTTTGATCAAATTTTGTAGGTATGAAAATCACCAACTAATTAAATTTATATTAAATATTTGAATAAGCAATCATTAAGGCCATACAAAGTTAATTAATTGCTTCTCATAACATGTGAATTTAAAAATGACCCGCCCGCTCGGCTTTTAATTATTTAATTATAAAAATTTTATATGTTTATTATCCAGAAAAACATATATAATTTTTTTAATTTTTAAAAAAATCCACCCGGAAGTATTCATATATCAATAACTTATAAAATTTTTTCTCGAAAATTTACAAAAGCTGACCCGACCGGGTTATGAGAAATAACTAATTAACTTTATACAGCCTAAGATATACAAAATTTGATCAAAAATGCTAACCGTGATAATTTAGCTTGAATGATTTACTTATATCTATTTTTTTATTATAATGGTATAATAGACCATCGGGACCGAACCACCCTATATTTCAAGTCTCCCCAAAAATAATTTTTTTTTTTTCAGTTAATGTTCTCGCAGTGAAGAAGTTTGTTGAATCCAGTATTCGGCTTGTGAATCTTTTGTATTAACGTCCCTTTGATGTAATACAAAATGGATTGTTAAATTAGATAAAAAGCTTTTTTGCATGCCCTTTGTTTACACATTCCCTCCTATTTGTCAAGTTGTTGATGGGGAAATGATTATTTTTTTATTAATGATTCATATATTATATTCTACACCACTTATTGTTCTGTTACGAATCATTATTTTATAATCATTTAGATCTGCAAATCTATGCTCTGCGTACTCTTTTGGAATTGATCATTTGCTTTCTAATAATTTTGGTGGAATGAGTATTTCTGCCATTCTTTTAATTTTTTTCGTTTCGTTTCGTTTTTTTTTTTTTATTCTTTTATAATTTCTTTTCGTATTTTGTTTTTATTTGTTTGCTTTTGTCCTTTTGATCCTAATCAATACTTTGACTTATTTTAATTAAATAAGGGGAGAGGTGGTAATTTATCGGTAATAAAAAAATTTTTCATCGTTCGAAAATATTTTCTATTAATTTGAAGGTTGGGTTATTTATATTTAACGTGTAAAATTACTCAATACTACTATAAAATAGCTGTTAAAGGCTCTTTCACAACTAGTCATAAATTTGTTATTACTGTATTTTTATTCATTAAATCTTAATCACATTAGAGATTGGACCCATCCGACAACCCGATAACCGGATATTCTGTAGTAAAATTTTGTACGTACGTATATTCAAGTAGGAGGCGTAATACAATTTTTTATGTAATCAATATCGATATGTACCAGTATTTTTTAATCCTTAATGTATTTGCCCTGAGTTTGTGGATTGTTATACAATGATTCATTTATGGGTAAGTTACACCGAAATTTTGAGGTAAGTTACCGCGAATAATTGGATACCAAATTTTTGCTCTCGTGTTTTATGTTTAATTCATAATCTACATTAGAACTTTTAGATTCCCCATATGGGCGGAAATTTTCAATTTCGTGATTATTTAAATTGAAACAATGAGATTCAATAGAATCCAAGCCAATAAGATATAAAATATTACTGAGATTAAAAGTGATTTAAGCAACTTATAACGATAAGCGATTCATAACGATCTGAGTTTTTATATCCCATTTATGAAGTAGTGCTCCGAACTAATTGGCTATAATACCCCAAAACTAACCTGAACCAGATCAATTTTGGATCATTTGAACAAGTTGTTTATGAGTATCACTTTGTTATCACCTAATTTTGCATTCCAAACCAAAAATTTCCGCCACCTAGCATTAATGCCGGCCAACCTAAATTTTAAAGTCGGTAATCTTAACTCCGCAGTAATTCGGTAACTTACCTGGTACTTACCATTTACAACCTGGTGACACCTTAAAACCAACAAGTGATTTATCAACGTCAGCAGAATTTAAAATTAGAGTTAGGTTTAGAGTTAGCTGACAATGTAATTTACGTCATGTAAGTTATCCTATCAACTATTATAGTAAATTACGGTGATCTCTCCCGCAGTAATCGTCAGTTGATTTTGTGTTAAAATTAGCATTAACGTTAACTATTGCTTTGAATAATTTGGATGGGACCGATGAGTGTGGAGAAATTTTATTCGATCGGTACTAAAATTACTTAAAAACTAATGAAAACTGGCAAAATTTTATTGAAAATAGAAAAATAACTTATCGACAAAAGACTATATTGTTAATTTTTTAATTTTTTTTACAAAACTTGCCTGACGATTGCTGCGGGACCGATAACATCTCTAGTATATGTCTAGGTTAGGTTAGGTGATTTTAGGTAGGCTCTATACTAGAATTACGAATTTCTTTTTTCTTTAAAGCACCAAAGATGGCGATTTATTAGGGGGGAAAAAAACCACACATTTAATTGTTCGTCTCAATTATCAGCGAAGCATGTCGATGTTTAGGGAGGGCCAGAAAACACGTGTTTTTTTTAGGGAAGGGGATCTTTTTTAAAAAATGTCCATATATTGATAAATTATATATATAAATAGAGAAGGCTGGCCCTCCCCTTACCATATTTATCATGTGTACATTTAAATTATTATTATTATTATTTTTTTTTTAGCACTATTTATTATTGTTCACCGAACATTTCGCACAGAGCGCAAGTAAAACCGGAATCATAAGTTATCCGAATAATCCGGTTAACAATCCGGTAATGTGTGATAGGTAAACGGGTGAGTAATTCAGAGATCAAATTTTCTGGCGGGTTCAATCTACTGTTTTTTTCTTCTGGCCTATCAAATAATACATGTAGGATGTAGGATTATTAGCATTTCGATCTTTAAAAATTAAATGTTAAAAAGCTCTCCAATTATTTACTTGAAATAATCCAGTATAATAACCAGAATAGTACCACGACATCAATAAATTACTCAATGCTTCATCATCTATACAAGAAATTAAATATTAGAATGTATATTAAAGAACGTACTATTAAATAACAAGAAATAATAAATAAAAATTACCTATCATCGGTGGCGGAACAACAGTTTGTGGCTAATTAAAAAAAAAAAAAAAACACGTCAAGCCAAGTTAACACAGAACATCCAAAACAAATAAACTAACTTTTGACGGTCTATAATATGAATTGGGATCCTATGATTATAAAGCAATCACCAATTAATTAAACCGGTATAAATCTGAACACCTTAGCGATAGCAACTTAAAAAATTATTTTTCAAAACAAAAATGCAATCAAACCCCTAACCCAAAACTAATAGTGAAATTTTTTAAGTTGGTAACGTTAGGGTCTTATTTAAAAAAATAAATTACCATTGGCGGTGGAATATGATGATAAAATTGAGGCGGTGGCGGTGGTGGAGGGTAATAATTGTTATACCATCCGTAAGCTGAATAAGCATCAGAGCCATAATTATAATACGTATTTTGTGTATGATCAGGTTCTTCTATTGATGAATCTTTGATCCCTTCTTTTTGTGTTTGATCTTTAGAGGAAGTAGCCTCAACTTTTTTAGTTTGCTTTTCAGAAGAAGTAGCCACAACTTTTTTTTTAGTTTGCTTTTCAGAAGATCCGACCTTTGGTGTTTTTTCACTTTTGATACTATGAAATGACTAAGAAATGAACATTCAGTGAAAATAAAAGTCTGATCAAATATAAAGTGATGTTAACGTGTTGATTACTTGGTATTCCTTAACAGCATCGTCCCAGGCAGTTATTAATGCGCTATCGTCCCATACGTCGGAATTCTTTTAACGTGTCAACAATTTTTTAGTTAGTTTTAAAATTATAATAGGAATGTATAAAAATTCAAACTTTTAGTACCTCCTCTGCAAAATCTTCAAGTGCACTAGGGTCATTTGAGTCTTCTGGTGGTGTTGTTGACTGTATGCCGGAACCCCACTGGACTTCCATATTATTCACTAGAATGAAAGAAAACTTAATATTCACATATGCAAATCTAAAAGGCCAAGTATTGTTTTTGATTGGCTGACCAACATGAAATATAATTGGCTAATATATCAAATCGCAAAAATTTTGATATAAACACTATCGCTTCCCAGAATCACAAATAAAATCTTCCGGAAACTGGTGATTTTAGAATAGACTTTTTTTTATATATAATTTAACTTTATCTTTGAAAGTTTGCGAACAGTGTTGATTTTTCAATTAAAATTTACAGCACGGATATCTGTGCGGCGCAAATTCTATATTTATATGGAGGTAGTTAGTTGAAAAGGGCCAAATTTTTTCTAAATAAATATTTTCTCAACTTTAGAATAAATACTACTAAAGCAAATCTTATTTCTTTAAGGATAATTTTAACGCTCACCAGTGGTAAAATTCACTAGTTATATGATTAACCAATAAAATTACAGGATCTCGTGTAACGATATAAAAAAAAATTAAAAATCATTAATATCTTAAAATTTTATTATGAAAACTTGTATTATGTTACTAAGTAAAAGTTTTCAGCATATAATTTTACATATAATA